ACACGTGTACACACACACGCACACCAGTGGTTCTCAGGAAGGTGGAGGAAGCGAAGGAGTGAACCAACAAGCACGCTTTTCACCTAACCCCCCTGGCACAGGGCTCCGAGGGCCGACCCGGCCCACGTGCCAACGAAAACCCTCGCTGGCTATTTTTGGGCCGAATGACCCACCCCTTCCAGTGACTTGCTCCTGAATGGCGTCTCATGTCACGAAGGCCTGGAAACGGTGACATCACATGCGGCTTGGCCGCTGCCCACACACGGCGAGCCACAGAGGGAGCCGGGAGTGGTGTGCGGAGCGGAGGGAGCGGGCCGCAGCAGGAGTTAAAATAGCAGAGCTGAGGCGTTCTGCTATGAAAAGCGATGACAGAGGCCGTTAGTCAGACGTTCCCGCTCCCTTAGTGGGTCCCTCTGCCTGTTTGCTTAGGGAGGCCGGGCTGCCTCCTCACCCGGCAGGGGCCTGCCGTCCGGGGCGCGGGCCTCTGAAGTCAGCCTGTGTGCTCTCTGCCTCCCGGGGCGGATGTGCGTTTTATCCTAAAGAACAACAGCGTTAGAGGCATACCGTGTTTCCCCGAAAATAAGACATCCTCCGGAAATAAGACCTAGCGCATGGAAAGATAAGCCATCCCCTGAAAATAAGACCTAGCGCAACTTCGGGAGAAAATATTAATATAAGACACTGTCTTATTTTTGGGGAAACAGGGTAGATGTAATCTTAATCGGTTCCAGAGAGGAAGGGAGAGAACGATAGAAGCATCAGTGATGAGAAAGAATAATTGATTGGCTGTCTCCCGCACGTTCCCTGCTGGGGTGGGGGTGGGGGGGGCAAGGCTTGATCAGGAATCGAACTGGGACCTCCTGGTCCGTAGGTTGATGTGCTCAAGCACCAAGCCACACGAGGCTGGGCTCAGCACCCTTTTTTAAAAAAAAATGTATTTTATTGATTTTTTACAGAGAGGAAGGGAGAGGGATAGAGAGTTAGAAACATTGGTGAGAGAGAAACATCGACCAGCTGCCTCCTGCACACCCCCACCAGGGATGTGCCCGCAACCAATGTACATGCCCTTGACTGGGATCGAACCCGGGACTTTTCAGTCCGCAGACCGACACTCTATCCACTGAGCCAAACCGATTTTGGCTGATTTTCATTTGAAATACTCTGATTTGAATTACACCTTGACCTGGACAGTCACCCACCCCCCTCCTTGAGGCTCCGGCTTTCTCGTCTGGAAAATGAATGGGTGTGGCCACCGTGGCCTCAGCCTTCTAGGCCGGGCGGCGGAGGGCGTGGAAGGTGGGAGGCCCCTGTGACACTTTATAGCTGAGCCACCAGCCCCTCTGAGCCTCACCTGTAAAACGGGTTAACGGCCCCTCACTGGTAGGTTGACCGAGATCATTGGACGAGAAGGAGCTGGTCAGGGGCCTAGCTCAGTGGTCGGCAAACTGCGGCTCTTTGGCCCCTTGAGGGTGGCTCTCCCACAAAATACCCCGTGCGGGCGCGCACGTAAAAGCGATTGAAACTTCGTGGCCCATCCGCAGAAGTCGGTTTTCGGCTCAAAAGAAATGTCGGTCGTTGTCCTGTCGATGTTTGGCTCTGCTGACGAGTGAGTTTGCCGACCACTGGCCTTGTGTGAGCTGGGCACACCCTAGATGTGCAGTCAGCACCCTTTCCCCTCCCCCACTCTCCCTGCCCTTTCTTCCACATTCTCTGACCGCCAGTGGCCACCGCTATCTCTTCGCTGCCTCACCACCGTGAGGGGCTGACTAATGCGAGCCAGAGGGGACGGCGGCTCACTTCCCCGTCTGTCACATGCCTGGGTTCTCACCCTCTCCTCTGTGGCCCGTCTTCTCAGAGGCATTTACTGCTGACTCACTGGCTTGTGGTCAGCTCTGAACCCAGGGTCTTTTTCAGCTCTCCCTCTGCCCCGCCCCCTCTCCCCAGCGCGGATGTTGTATCGTTAATTCGAGAGCATTCTGTCCAGGTGGCCCTAAAACAGGGATCCAACACCATTGGTAGACGGGCAGCTTCACGGGGGCAGGGGCCGTGGCCACCTGGCCCTCTTTGGTTTTCTCACGCCAGCGGGTACTCCGTGAAGATCTGTTGAATGAATTGATGTATTTTGCACTGGCCCCTGCCTGCCCCGGGGCTCCCACTTGCTCTGAGGAAAAGCAAGTACACGAAGCCTGAAGGTTTTCGTTTCCCAACGGGTGAGCTCTCAGCGGATTCCCCCAGGCTCAGGGGAGTGGAAGGACCATGGCCTCTGGGCTTGGGCTTGGGTTTGAATCCTGCCTTTACTAGCCATGGGCTTGGGGATTGGGAGCAAGTTGCTGCCAGGGTTACTGTGAACATTCAAGTCAAATACAGTGAATTTGTGAAAGAGCCTGGTACCAGAGCCGCCCCCCTCGCTCTGTCCGGAGCACACCCCTTTGCTCTTGCCTCCGGGAGTTTGGTCCAAGGCTAACCTCCTCTCCTTGACCTTTGTTCACCCAGCCTCCCTCCCCCTCCCACTTTCAACAGAGAAGACGTACCCTACCGGACACTCCGCAGACATTTGCCAAGCCAGCCGAAACCGGTTTGGCTCAGTGGATAGAGCATCGGCCCATGGCCTGAAGGGTCCTGGGTTCGACTCCGGTCAAGGGCATGGACCTTGGTTGTGTGGGCGCATCCCCAGTGGGTGTGTGCAGGAGGCAGCTGGTCAGTGTTTCTCTCTCATCGATGTTTCTAGCTCTCTGTAAAAAGTTAATAAAATATATTTTAAAAACAAAAGCAAAACATTTGCCAAGCCAGCTCTTCAGGTTCAGGTGCCTCTAGTTTCTAATTCAGATCCCACTCGATGCCCCTTTCCCCATTCGGGACACGGGCCTGCGTGACTGGGCCGTCCCGTCTCTTCCGCCTCCTCTCGTCTCGGAGGGTGCCTTTGTCTTTGCTTGCCTTCCTGACCTCGCTGTGTTGACCCGTGCTGGCCCGTCACTTTGGCACCTGCCCCTCCGTGTGGATGCGTTGGTGTTTCCTCGCGATTCTCGCGAGGTGGTGCGCTGGGAGCAAGCTCTCCGCCGGCGCGATGGTGTGGGGCCGTGACGTGTCTCCTGCTGGTGGCACTCGGTCACGTGGCAGCTGTGATGTCTGCGAAGGCTCTCCGCCGTCGAGTTCCACTTTCTCCTCTGGTAGCTCACGAGGATTCGTGGGGAGGGACTTGGGAGGGGCGTCCATGTCCCTGTCGTCCGTGCCCCGTTCCTCCTCAGACTTCTGATGGATTCATTGCTTGGTATCCATATAGGATTGTTGCCCCATTTCACAGGTGGCGGGACTGAGGCACAGGGAGGTTAAGTCAGGGACGTGGCCCGGGTCACCCAGCAGCCAAGTCACATTGGAACCCCGGCAGGCAGACTCCGCAGCGCCTGCCCTTACCTGTCACGTGCCTCTCATGGGAAAGGGGCGGACCTTGTCAGCGTAAGGGAGCTGGGCAGGTGTGGGTGGCTGAGTCACAGGGCCCCCACCCCTCACACACACTCCCAGCCCCGGTTTCTGGTGCCCCCAGGGGCCCTGGCACCGGCTGAGCAGGGAGGGAGGAAAGTGGAGCTTTTTAACTTGGCGGCAGGCAGGAACTGTTTCGCCTCTGAGGTCTTAGGATACCGGGTTCACGTGCTGTCTGAGCGAGCACACAGCAGGCGAGGATCAGATCTCACGCAAGGCTTGTAAGCCATGGCGGATGCTCCGTGTCAGATCTGCCAGGCATGGGTGTCCCTCCCCTGGCGGGTGTGGTCATAGGAGCCCCATTGTTACAGACGAGGAAACGGAGGCTCAGAGAGAGGAAGTTACTTGGCTGAAGTCACACAGCGAGGAAGAAGACCAGCCGGGATTTGAACCCGGGGCAGGCTGACGCAGGGCCTTCTGTCTTCCACAGCTGGCCAGATCTAAACCCAAGACGCCTGTCTGAGGCCCAAACCCCAGACCCTTCCGCCCACAACCCCTGTCCACGCTGATGGGATCCCGGAGAAAGAAAGACGAGGGCTCTGTGCCTGGGGCCGAAACCCACGCTGAGGCTGAGGCCGGGTCCCGGGCAGGCTTTATGTTTATGTCGGACTGAAGAAGAATCTCTAAGGTCCTAGCCGGTGTGGCTCAGTGGATAGCGCACTGGCCCTGAGTTTGATCACGGGCATGTACCTTGGTTGCCGGCTCTATCCCTGACTCTGGTTGGGGCGCATGTGGGAGGCAACCAATCGATGTGTCTCTCTCACATCCATGTCTCTCTGTCTCTCTCTCTTTGCCCCCCGCCCTTCCCTGCTCTCTAAAAATCAGAGGAAACATACCCTCGGGTGAGGAGCAACAACAACAAAGAAGCATCTATAAGAAGGGGCACAGGGCCGTGGAAGCCGGGGGCGGGAACTGGAGGGGGAGGGGGAGAGGTGACGCCATAGCATCCTGCTCCCTGAGGGCGGAGAAGACCTCGGGGTTCCGCTCGCTCCTGTTGTGTGCCTACTCTGCGCCAGGCCCCTGCCCTCAGGAGGGCGGCATTCTGATGGGGAAACACAGCCGGCCCAGCCAGCGGGGCTCGGTGTTGAGCGTTAACCCCTGTCACCTGGAAGGTCCTGGTTTGATTCCCCGTCAGGGCGCATGTCCGGGTGGCCGGCTCAGGCCCCAGTCTGGGGTCCTGCAGGAGGCAGCCAGTCAGCGATTCTCTCCCATCATGGATGTTTCTATCTCTCTCCTTCTCTCTTCCTCTCTGAAATCAATTAAAATATATTTTATATATATTTTAAAAAGAAACATAGCCAAATGTGGGTCGAGGTCCTCTCAGCAGGTGTCCTGAGGAAGTGAGACTGGTAAGGGCAGTGTGGGGGCCCGGGCCCATCCGAGGGGCGTCCCGCAGGCTCTGGGGGAGCTGTCCTAGGAGGGCCGAGGTTAGCCGAGCTATTGGGCACGCCAGCCACACCACAGCCCCTGCCGCCCCGGCCAGCCCTCTGTGCCCGTCTCACCGTCCCCTTTGCTCTCCGCAGGTTTGACATCTACAGGAAGGTGCCCAAGGACCTTACGCAGCCGACGTACACTGGGGCCATCAGTGAGTACCCTTCCCCTTCCCCCTCCACTCCCCCCGCCCCCATCCCACTCTGTGCCCACGCCCCGCGCAGAACTGCTGGCCAGAGCTACGCAGAGGTGGAGGCGGGAAGCAGTGACGGGCGTCTCGCCAGGCCTTCTTGTTGTTCCTCATCTCAGCTCTGTCCTCAGCCTCACCAGGGAGGGAGGCGGCCCCTGCTCCTGGGAGGGGACACCAGAAATCACTCCTAGTCACTGACACGGGGGCTCAGGGTCAGGAAGAGACTTCCGTTTCTCTCCAGGCCTTTCAAACTAGCTGCATTTTTGACAAAAGCATGGTTTCATTAAAAAAAAAAAAAAAATCTCGCCCAGGTGTTGGATTCTAAATGTCACCTATCTATATAAAAGCCCAGTGACCTTCACAGTGGAACGACCAGAACTACCAGTCGCTATGACGTGCACTGACCACCAGGGGGCAGACGCTCGACGCAGGAGCTGCTCCCTGGTGGTCATTGCGCTCGCACAGCAGAAGTGCCACTCGGCCAGAAGCCAGGCTCAAGGCTGGCAAGTGCAGCAGCGGTGGTGGGAGCCTCTCCCGCCTTCATGGCCGCGCTAAGGAGCTCCAGGCCGAGGGGTGAGGAGTGAGCAGGGGGGCGGTTAGGAGCAAAGGGTCCTGGATTGTGAGAGGGCTCAGGCCAGGTCGGGGGGTACCCCACCCCTGCACGAATTTTGTGCATCAGTTCGTTACTGAAAGGACGCAGGGCTCCGTGGAGAAGTGGCTGATGTCAGGACCGGGCCGGATGGGTACAGAGGGAGCCCCCAGGAAGCCAAGAGGGCCCGGAGAAGGAACAGGGGCTGGGGCGTGTGGGCCGGACGCCAGCCTGGGAGCGGGGGGGTGGGGGCCGGAGACCGAGGCTGCGCCGTTCGAGGGACAAAACAAGCGATGGAACTCCCGGCTCATTGCCCCAGGAAAAGGCCCTGAGTCCGTGCCGACGGGTGTGTGTGTGTGTGTGTGTGTGTGTGTGTGTGAGACTCTTCCTCACAGAAGAATCCCAAAGGCTGTGGGACTGTGTCCCCGTCCAGGAGCCAGAGCTGGGTCCTCTTCCTGCGGAGTGGGGGCTGGACTCAGTGCCTCGCTTGTGAAGAACTGAGCATGGGCCCGCCCGGCGTGGCTCAGTAGTTGAGCGTTGACCTATGACCCAGGAGGTCACAGTTCAATTTCCGGTCAGGGCACACGCTGGGTTGCGGGCTCCATCCCCACTGTGGGCATGCAGGAGGCAGCTGATCCATGATTCTTTCGCATCATGGATGTTTCTCTCTCTTCCTCTCTGAAATCAATAAAAATACATTTCAAAAAGTGAGAGAGAGAGAGAGAGCCAAAACTGGTTTGGCTCAGTGGATAGAGCGTTGGCCTGCAGACTGAAAGATCCCAGGTTTGATTCCGGTCAAGGGCATGTACTTTGGTTGCGGGCACATCCCCAGTAGGGGGTGTGCAGGAGGCAGCTGGTCGATGATTCTCTCTCATCGATGTTTCTAACTATCCCTCCACCTTCCTCTCTATAAAAAAAAATCAATTAAAAAAAAATATATATATATATATATTTTTTTAAGTGAGAGAGATGAGAATGGAAAGGAAATAGTCACTTTGCTGTGGATACATCAGTGAGATGTCATGTGGATGTCACAGCGCCCCCTTCCTGCACCCCGCCCCCCCTCCATAGGATGCACTGGGATGCGCTGCGAAGGGCACTGATCGCTGGGGATCTTCCCCCCCAAAACCGCAAGCCAGTGTAATTGTGAGGAAGCACCAGGCAGCCGCTGGGTGACCTTGGCCTGGCCACAGGTTGACATGGCGAGGTCGGGGAGAGCAGGCCGGTCTGGAGAGCGGTCGCAGACCCGAAGCAGGGGCATGTGATGACGGCGTGTGAGGGGGGCCGGGGCGGGTCCCAGACAGGAGGCAGTCCCTGGGACACGGGGGATCTGGATGGGACACAGCTTCTCTGGTGACCGCGTTGGACGATGACAGCTAAGCCCCTTGTCAGAGCTGCCAGATGTTCGCCAGCAGGCAGGGAGGCCGGGAGGAGGGCGGTGGGAACTCTCTGTACCACCTTCGTAGCTAGCGTACTCCACAGTAAAGAGGTTCATTTAGGAAAAACAAGGACACTTCAAAACGCCAGGCAAGCAGGAATGATGGAGCCTCGTTTTCCGGAGGAGAGAATGGGCTCAGAGAGGTCGCCTGGCTCACCTGATGTTTCACAGCTCCGCCAGAGAGAGCCCGGCTGGCCTGGGACTCAGTGGGCCCCCATGCCTTCCTCCCCTCCCCTCCCACCCCACCCCACTCCCACCTCGTTCCCTCCCCCACCCGTGGCCTCTCCAGGGCTTGGTGTAGGAGAGGGACCTTCCCCAGGGGCTGGCCGTTGCCAGGTGATGGGTGACCTCAGGGACCCCCCCACCTGGCTGGCCCCGCCCAGCTCTCCCTCTTCCGGCTCGGCTCCTGGATGCTGAGGAGGCCTGAGTCCCCACGCCCCCGGAAGGGGACCAGGCTCTGGCGTCCGGCAGAACTGGGCTCATCCTCCCATTTAGCAGCCGGGTGACCTCGGGCTGGTCGCCTCACCTCTCTGAGCCTCCGGGTCCTGATCTGGGGTGAAAAGACATCACGTCTGTGGCGTGGGGGGGGGGGGGTGCTAAGTCCTCGGTGCACAGATGACATCTCCACCGGTCACCTTCCTCCTGGGGCCCGCAGCCTGTCTGGGTCTGACCGCGGGAGCTGGTTCGCGTGTGCCTGGTCCCCGGAGGGGGTGCTGAGGGCCGTGAGAGGAGAGGGGGTCAGCTGCCTTCTCCCTGCTCAGCTGCTTTACCGACCCGGGCCAGCAACGCCCTCCCTGCCCCAGCGGACAGCCCCACCCTCTTCTCTGGCTCTCCCGGGTCAGTAGGGTTACCAGCGGCGTGGATCCTTCTAGAACGTTTTGAAAGCACAGCGAGGCGTGGCTATGCACAGGTCTGGGTTTTCAGCACAGGCGGGCGCACACCATCTCCCCGCCTTTCCCCCACTGCTTTGCCCCGGACGCCTCCATCCCAGCACACAGTAGGTCATCATGCTCTTCCCTCCAGTCGTGTCCTACTGCGCGAGCTGGGAGGCCCGCCGTGTGTGTGACCGGCCTGCGGAGGGCGGACGTGGCTGGTGCCCGGGCATTGCTGTCATGGCCGCCCTCGGCCGGGCCTCTCTGTGTCCTGGCACGGTCACTTCCGTAAAGTAACTTTCCCAGAAGGGGAATGCCGGGGTCAGAGGGCGTAGGATTTATTATTATTTTTTTTAATATATTTTATTGATTTTGTACAGAGAGAAAGGGACAGGGACAGAGAGTCTGAAACATCGATGAGAGAGAGTCATCAATCAGCTGCCTCTTGCACACCCCCTACTGGGGATATGCCCGCAACCAAGGTATATGCCCTTGACCGGAATCGAACCTGGGACCTTTCAGTCCCCAAGCCGACGCTCTACCCATTGAGCCAAACCAGTCCCTGCCAGAGGGCGTAGGATTTAGAAGGCGCGGCCACGTGGCCCCCGAGATGCGGTCTCTCTGCCGCCCTTGTTCCAGCGCGCAGGGTGGCCAGCCCTCAGCGGCCGCCCCGTGAACAGATATTTATGAACGGGCCCCGGGGCCAGGCCGGGCCGTGCCAAGACCGGGGCCACCCCGATGAATGGGCTCGGGCTTCGTCCTGGAGGCGCTTCGGCCGAGCGGGCTGCCGACGCAGAAACATCTCCCGCCACCGTGATCCACGCTGTGAATCACCGGGGAGACCGCCGGGCGCGGGGGCCTCGCGGGTCGGCTCGAGTCGCCTCCTCCCTCCCCTTCAGCAGCCTGTGGCGTCCCGGCGCCTTGGGTCTCGGGTCCGGGGTCCGCTGGACTGGCTGCCCACTGGCCGGCATTCTCCTGGGACCACATTCCTCCCGTCCGGTCCCTGAGTCAGGCTCCGAAGAAGCCCGAGCGTCTTGCCCAAACATGGATTGAAAAGCCCTCGTCCAGCCTTCGCGCTTTCCACTCACTCACTCATTCATTCATTCATTCATTCATTCAACAGAGACGTGTTTTGTTATCGCCTGAGGCAGGCCCCGTGCTGGACCCCGTGGCCGCCTGTGCTTCCGCCTGGCCTCCGCGGGAGAAAGCTGGGCCTGCCCCTCGGAGGGGCTGCCCGTGAGGGGGTCGGTCCACCCCGGAGGGGCAGCTCCGTACCAGAGCCGTAGACTTGGCATCCGCCGTGTCGGTCCACCTTTTGCGGAGCGGGGCTGCTTCCTATGGAGATTACGAGCAGGAAGGGGCGCCTGGCTGGCGTGGCTCCGTGGTTGAGCATTGACCTGGGAACCAGGAGGTCAGGGTTCGATTTCCGGTCAGGGCACAGGCCCGGGTTGCCGTCTCAATCTCCAGTGTGGGGCGTGCAGGAGGCAGCTGATCGGTGATGCTCTCCCATCGTTGATGTTTCCCTCTCTCCCTCCCTCTTCCTCTAAAAGAAAAAATATTTTTATGTAAAAAAAAAAAAGAGTAGGAAGGGGCTGAGGGTTTGCAGGGGGGTCTCTCCCGCTCCCTCTGAGCAGCTCTCTCTGGAGCAGGGGAAGGAGGGGCAGGGGGAGGGGGGCGGCCTCCGTCCTGAGTGCCCTCTGCCCTCACGGTGCGTCTCTGTTGTTTCTTGCAGTCTCCGTCTGCTGCTGCCTCTTCATCCTCTTCCTCTTCCTCTCGGAGCTCACCGGATTCATAACCACAGAAGTGTAAGTTACCCCCGAGGGGCGGGGCGTCCCAGAGGAGGCTCAGAGGGCGGGGCTCCGACCGGAGAGAACCCTCGGGGCCTCCCAGCCCTCTCCCAGCCCAGCACGGCCGCTCTGATCTTCCGGGGATTCGAAGTGTGAGCAGAAGGCAACGCTGCTGCGTGCAAGCAGGAAAGGGAATCCCGGCCCGTCCTGGGGGGCCTCCCGGGTCTCCCGATGGACGGAGCTCCGTGGCCCTTCTTTCTGTCCCTCTGGTTGGCCGGGGGGCTTCTTCTCCCTCTGACCCATCCCGGGGCCATTCGATGCGAGTGCTGGGAGGGGCGCTTCCGCCCGAGGGGGCGAGACTGCTGCTGATCTCGGAGCCGGCCCCCCCCCCCCCCGAGGCCCCCCGCCCGGCCCCCGGGCCCCCCGCCCCCAGGCCCAGGCCCCCCGCGCCCAGGCCCCCCGCCCCCAGGCCCAGGCCCCCCACGCCCAGGCCCCCCGCCCCGCGCCCAGGCCCCCCGCCCCCAGGCCCAGGCCCCCCGCGCCCAGGCCCCCACGCCCCCAGGCCCAGGCCCCCCGCCCCCAGGCCCAGGCCCCGCGCCCGGGCCCCCCACCCCGCTCCTGGGCCCCCTATCCCACCCCCGGGCCCCCCACCCCCAGGCCCGGGCCCCCCGCCCCGCGCCCAGGCCCCCCGCCCCGCGCCCAGGCCCCCCGCCCCGCGCCCAGGCCCACGCTCTCGGAGGCGTCGGCGCGGGCTTCCCGGCAGCGGCTGACGCACCGCGGGTCCGGCCCGGTTCCCGGGAACCGCTCCGGGCCACGTGCCGCACAGATTCCCAAGGAAGGGCTTAGTCACGGCCTCGGCCTCCCGGACGCCCCTGGGAGCGGGAATGCGCCCCGGGATCTTCCTGGCCTGGCCAGGGCCTGGAGGCATCCAGGCCTCTGTTTCTGCATTTACAGCCTAGAATAGGGGTGTCGAACTCAATCAGAGAAGGGGCCAAAATCTAAAATCCAGCCTAAATCGCGGGCCGAATGGTTTACTGAACAGTCATAAACTGTCATTGTGATGGAAACGCAGCGGAGTGCAGTGATGACAGCGCGGTGCGGGCCACATTGCAAGGCCTGGCGGGACGGATTTGGCCCGCGGGCCTTGTGTTTGACACATGTGGCCTAGAAAGACAGCACGGGGCTTAGGCCCTGGCCACTCCTCCTCCGTCCAGCGCTGGAACTTTCTTTGTTGCTCATGGATGTCTCGGTTTTCTCTGCCTCCCGCTCCGCACCGTGGGGAGCTGGACACAGCTGCCCGGGCCCAGAAGGGCCTTGCTGCTGTATGAGCCTGACCGCCTCTCAGCCTCACGCAGCCCCCGGGCGGGAGACTGAGGCTCAGGCAGGCGGGGCTGGCCCACAGGCCCCCTGGCCTCTCCTCCCCTTGTTTCTGGGTGTAGCTTCCTGCCCTCCACGCCGCTCCCCCGTCCCCCTGGTCCTTTCTGTAGCCCGGGGTCCTCACAGAGCGCTGGAAAATGCACAGGACAAAGCCAGGCCGCCGTGGCTCCGTGGTTGAGCCTCGACCCATGAACTGGGAGGCCACAGTTCGATTCCCGGTCAGGGCACCTGCCTGAGGTGCCGGCTCCGTCCCCAGTTAGGAAGGCGTGCAGGAGGCAGCCGATCAGCAATTCTCCCATCGCCGATGTTTCTCTCGCACCAAACAAGCACAGCACCCGTGAAGCCCCGTATGTGGAGGTTTGCCTGTATTTCCCTGAAAGGACGGGAGCCCAGTTGCATCTGAGTGTGACATGAGCAGTGAAGACTGTTAGGCGCAGGTGCCGCCGGAATGCACTTCGCTGTGTGTCTCCGACATTCACGCCCAACTGGCCCGGCTGTGTGTTCCGTGGCCCTGTGTCCCCCAGGGGCCCCTCGTCCGGTGGAGACCAGCCCCAAGGGCGTCTCCTCCCGGGTTCTGAGCTGCAGCAGACCCCGATCTCCGTGCACCTCCTCCTTCCGTTCCCCCGGGTGACATCACGCGGCTGTCAGGCGCTCGGCACCTGGCACACCAGTGCCCCGTGAAGGCATTTCCTCCTCCCCTCCCTTCCGTTCAGAACCGCCCCCTCGCCTCCCTCGCCTCCGGCTGACATGCTGAGGGCGGCTCACGAGGTGGCTGCCGGGAGGGAGGCGGGGGTCCCGGCAGGTGAGCACTGACGTCAGAGCTCACGTCTGGAGCAGGCGGGCCAGCTGCTGGGGGAAGGCGGCTCCAGCAAGCCCAGACGGCTCTGTGTACCCAGGGCGGGCTCTCTCTCCTTCCCAGAGCTCACTGTTCCCACCGCGCCCCCTTCCCCCCCCCCCCCCCCCCCCCCGGCCTGCTCTGACTTCCTCTTCCTGGCTCCTGGGGGCACCCTGGACGCACCGGTCCCACCAGGTCCCGGAGAGGAAGCCAGATGAGGGTGAGGGAAGAATCCAGACAGAGGCCATTCATCGAGTGTGCGCCAGCGTCCGGCCCTGGGTCCAAGCACGTCTCCCCGCGCCATGTGAGCGGCCGGAAGGGGAGGGAGGGGAGTGGGGACAAGCAGAGAGGCCTCTGGGCCCAAAGCTCCACTCAGGACGCTGCAGGGAGGCTCAGGCCCCTCACTCCCTGTTGCCGGGTAACCGTGGCACACAGGTGCCCTCAGGAGTCTGAGGGGTGCGGGCTGCGGAGCCACAGGGAAGAGGATGCTCCCGTGGGGCCTTCCCTCCCTCGGAGGCTCGCCTGGCCCCGGGGCGTCCTGCCGATCCGGGAGAACTGAGGGTCTCAGGGCTTCTCCCTTTCGGAGCAGCCGGCCCGCCCTGGCAGCTGTGTGCCCACCATGGGTCAGCCCTCCTCCCTGTCCCCCCCCCCCTATCCCCCGAAATGAGGTCACGGCGGGCTGGACCACAACGCTCCGAGCCGGGCCTGTGGTTATCCGTGACATCAGGCGCTATTCTGGCCCGGGGGGGGGAGAGCAGAGGCCTGTGTGTGTGGGTGGGAGGGTGGACTCTGGCCTGGGCCCTGGACGGGCGTTGGTTATGCTGGGAAAGGGCCCCCCGGGGTGCTCGGAGGCCCCACTTTCCAGGGCAGCAGGCATCCCCCGCCCCTGCCCCTCTGCCTCGGAGAATGTGGCCACGGAACATTCCAGCCTTTGACAGCCCGGGCTCTGGCTGCTCTTAGTTATTAACCTGATGAGGACTTATAAATAAGAAACTAGCAGCTGGACCTCTCCGTTGACAATTTGTAGCATCACACGACGCCTCGTCATTTCCAGCTCTGACCGTATATCGTAGGCCAGTGGTGGGCAAACTCCTTCGTCAGCAGAGTGGCAAACCTGGGCTCGCGAGCCACAGTTTGCCGACCACTGTCGTAGGCGACCCGCTGCCAGCCACCCAGGTCAGCGAGTTACGATGATCAGCTGCTCATTCCGTCTCACAAAATCCCTTGAGGTGAGCACTGCTGTTCGCGCCAGCCCCACTTTCCCGCTGGGGAAACCGAGGCACCGGGAGGCTGAAACTCAGTGAGTTAGGGCGTGGTGGACTCGCCTGTCTCCCCCCCTTCCCCGCCCCCCCCCTGAGCATGTGGCCCCCCGGCGCCTGCAGCCGCTGCTTCTCGGTGGGAACAGTGGGCTGGGACACGGGTGCTCCCTCCAGGAGAGGGGGCCACGCCGCCCGGTGGGACCTGGCAGGTCCCCGTGACCCGTGTCCCCGCAGCTCCCGGGCGGGCCCCGCGAGAGGAGGCCCACAGCTCAGCGGGAGGAGGCGCTGACTTCTCCTCGGAGCCCGGAGACCCGCCTGGGAGCCGGGCCGGTGGAGAGCCACGAGGGCAGTGAAGGAGCAGCGGGAGGGTGGCTCTGGGCCTCAGCACAGCGCAGGGTCTGGTTCATGCCTCTGAGCTCACCCCGGGGGCCGGGCCAGGGGAGGAGGCTGGTGCTGACCCGGGCAGAGGGGCCGAGGGGCCCAGCACAGCCGCCGTGGAGAAGGTGTGGGGTGGTACTGGGTGTCTGCCAAGGGCTGGTTTTGGGGGGCCTCACGGCACCGGGGATGGTCAGGGCATCAAACTTCGCGTGCTCGCTTGCATAACCTGCGTGTGTGTGTGTGTGTGTGTGTGTGTGTGTGTGTCCGTCCCCTGGCCCGTGCTCGGGGCCTCACTGCCCGGTAAGTTTCCATTGAACCCACTTGGAAGCGCGGCGGTCAGGGACTTGGGGCAGGAATCCGAACTATTCGAGTGCTGCTTTCAAAGCAAATAAAATTGTTTTCCGTGGATGTCATCGGGCTCACGCCTCGGCCGAGAATCTCAAGGCCCTCCGTTCATTCCGCCTACGCTCCCCGCCCCCCCCCCCCCCCCCCCCGCACCCCCGACACACGCCCCTCGCCGGCGCCTCTCTCCTCTCCCTACATGGCCCGGGCTCACCCCCGGTCTCGTCTCGGGGGGGAGTCGGCCGCTGCGCGCCTGGGGAGCGGCGGGGGGCGGCAGAGGGGGGCTGTGGGGCACAAAGGGAGTGGAATCCCTGAGCACCTCCACACCCCGTGGCTATTGGGGCCGTGGGTGGGGGTGAGCACCTGACGGTTATCAGGGAGATGGTGACACCTTTCGCCTCCGTTTTCACTGGTTGCTGTCCCACCCGGTGTCATTCAATGGAAAGGACATGGCCCTGAGCTCCCGGGGCTCTGGGTTCAGATCCCGCCTCTCCCTCTTCCCGACCAGGTGGCCTTGGCCAGGCTGTCTGGGTTCATCCTGTGGAAAGAAAGAAGTAAGCCCTTTCGAACCCGGGCCGGTCCTGCGGGAAGCCTGGCACCCCGGGGAGCCCAGGATGGGGACGTGGCCTCTGTTCTTTAAATATATTTTTTACCCATTTCGGAGAGGAAGGGGAAGGGGGAGAGAGAGAGAGAGAAACACCCATGAATTGAGAATCGTGGATTGGCTGCCTAACTGCACGCCCCCCACTGGGGATCAAAGCTGGAAACGTGGGCACGTGCCCTTGACCGGGAATCAAACCATGACCTTCCGGTTCATTGGTCGGCACTCAGCCGCTGAGCCACGCCAGCCGGGCCACGGGTGAGCACATTTAATCCCCACCACAGGGCCCTGGGTGCCATGCGTGTTGTTACCAACTCAGTGGACGTTGGCATTATAACAGCAGTGAACGCAGTGGACACTCAGGGAGCACGTGCTGTTTACTGAGGTCGTCCACGTCCGTGGCTGCCCCCGTGGCACATCTGGGCAAACCGAGGCTGGCAGAGGCAGAGCCCGTGGCCAAGGTCAGTCAGCCAGGAGGTGGCAGAGGCAGGATCTGACCCCGAGAGCCCAGACTCCCACCATGATGCCTTCCACCAGAGTGCAGTGAGTGACAGACCCCTGCCCGGGCAGCCTGCCGCCGTATGGCCAGTCCTCACCCAGGCTGGAACCCATGGCCCATGTTTGTCTGTCTCACCTACATCCACGTCACCATCACCCCCACACCCATGTCACCATCTCCCCGACCAGACAGCACATTTCCATGAGCTGGGAGGTTCCCTTTCCCCCCTTGCACACACACACCCTTCCCCCCGCCCCCCACCACCACTATTCTGACTTCTTTTACCATCGATTAATTCTGCCTGTCTTTATGGGTTTTGTTTTTAAAAAAATATTTTTTATTGATTTTTTTTTTACAAAGAGGAAGGAATAGGGATAGAGAGTTAAAAACATCGATGAGAGAGAATCATCAATCGGCTGTCTCTTGCACACACCCCAACCAAGGTACATGCCCTTGACCCGAATCGAACCTGGGACCTTTGAGTCCACAGGCTGATGCTCTATCCACTGAGCCAAACCGGTTTCAGTGTTATGGTGTTTTTTTTTTTAAATATATGTCTTTATTGATTTCAGAGAGGAAGAGAGAGGGAGGGAGAAAGTTAGAAACATCCGTGATGAGAGAGAAGCACTCACCGGCTGCCTCCTGCACGCCCCACACTGGGGACTGAAGCACAAGCAGGGCCTGTGCCCTGACCGGGAATCGAACCGTGACCTCCTGGTCCCCAGGTCAATGCTCTGCCACGCCGGCCGGGCTGACGAGGCCTGTCTTCACACTTCACAGAAGGTTCTACCCGTTTTACCGGCTCAGAGAGGTGGAGCGACTTGTCCCCGGCCCCCCAGCCTCTCAGGGGCAGAGCCGGGGCTGAGCCCACATCCGCCTGTCGCTGCCCAGGGGTCTTCTCGTTGCCCCCCCAGGGACAGGAGAACCAGGCCCACCAGAGTCCCCAGATGTCAGTGAATCCATAAAAAGTTTATTTTCACCCCAAACGGGCTTTTAAAGCCACCTGTGAAAACCAGTTTGGCCCGGGCAGCGAGGGGAGCCGGCAGGGCAGGCCCCGGGGTGACCCCGCGGCTGGGCGGCGGGCAGCCAGCAGCCGGGGGCGATGCAGGGACCCGCTCGGAGGTGTCCGCACTGACCTCACCGGTGGCACAGGTGGCTGCGCCGTCCACCCCACAGCCCCGGGCCCTCTGGAAGGCACCGGGAGCCTCCCTAACCAGACTGGCCGAGCTCGGCAGGGAGTGGTCTCCCAGGCCCCCAGCCCTCAGCCCCTGGGCTGGGAGCGCCTCCCGCAGGGGCCTCAGGGTGTGCTCACCTGGCGCCACACCCGGCTCACCTGGCCCTGGGAGCTGAGGTCACCTCCGAGCCTTGCCAAGGGGTGACATCATCCCACAATGCCTCAGTGCTGCGGGGCCCGCCTCCCAGGTGGGAGAGGTGAGCAGCTGCAAGGAAGAGCCTCCCTGCGCTGGGAAGGGAGGCTGGGGCTCTCCCTCGGTGACCCGGTGACAGTTCTGTGAATCACCCCAAAGTCTCATTAGCCAACAAGCCTCCAGAGCTGCGGCGTGGGGCAGGGGTGCCCCGAGACGTCCATCCTCCAGCATCACCCCCTGTGATCCTGTCCGCTCCCATCCCCCACCCCAGACCCATTGGTCCTTCCTGTTCTTGGATGCAGGCCAGCCAGGCCTTTGTCTCCCCAGAGGACCAGGCCCCCCCTCCCCCGTTTCCCCGGTGACCCTGGATGCTGAGGACCAGGGCCCCCCTGTTTCCCCGGTGACCCTGGATGCTGAGGACCAGGGCCCCCCGTTTCCTCGGTGACCCTGGATGCTGAGGACCAGGGCCCCCCTGTTTCCCCGGTGACCCTGGATGCTGAGGACCAGGGCCCCCCTGTTTCCCCGGTGACCCTGGATGCTGAGGACCAGGGCCCCCCGTTTCCTCGGTGACCCTGGATGCTGAGGACCAGGGCCCCCCCCCCCCCCCCGTTTCCTCGGTGACCCTGGATGCTGAGGACCAGGAGGAGGAGGCCAAAGGCAGCCGGGGGCTCGGGCGGAAGGCAGACCTGGCCGGGTGGGGTTGCAGCTTGGCCATTTCCTGCTGTGTGGCCTTGGGGATGGGACCTGCCCTCTCCGAGCCTCGGTTTCCTGCCTGCAGAGGGGGATCCGGACGTCCTGCAGGGGCAGGCAGGACCCCTGAATGCCCACAGACGCGCCTGGGCCGTTCCCGGCTCGATGGGCCGGAGGCCCGGCCGGCGGAAGGCTGAGCTGGGCAGGCCTCGCTCTCGTTTCTGGGAACACTCTGGCCCCGGGTGTGTGTGCTATGAGGGAGCCCCCCGTTCTTATTGACTGAGTGCCCACCATTTCACACTCGGGGCTGGGCACAGGGGCAGGATCTTCGTGAAGACGGACGGCCTGGCCCTGGCCTGACTCACTCTTTCCCCAAGAAGCGGCCACCGACGAGGCTCTCAGAGGAGGGCTGGTTAGAGCCGCCGTCCTTCACCTACGGCCAGGGCCCGGGGCCGCCTGGCGCCGCCCGTAGCTGCTCACGAGGCCTGTAGGTCCAGCTCCCTCCTGTGGAGGGCGCTCTCCGGGAACCAGGCGTCCGGCACGGCTGCCCAGGGCTGCCTCCCAAGGCCGGGGTGTGAAGGAAGGGAGAGAGTTGGAAACATCCGTGATGAGAGAGAAGCACTCACCGGCTGCCCCGCGCACGCCCCACACTGGGGACTGAAGCACAAGCAGGGCCTGTGCCCTGACCGGGAATCGACCCGTGACCTCCTGGTCCCCAGGTCAATGCTCTGCCACGCCGGCCGGGCTGACGAGGCCTGTCTTCACACTTCACAGAAGGTTCTACCCGTTTTACCGGCTCAGAGAGGTGGAGCGACTTGTCCCCGGTCGTTTTGCAGGCTCGCTGGCCTCGAGCTCAGCAGCCACACGAAACCCGGCGCCTCCCTCCCACCGCCCGCTGCTCTTCCTGGGAATGGTTCCGGGCGGTGCCACGCCCTGTCCACCAGCGCGCCGCCCGCTCTGGCCCCCCTCCCCTCTCCCTCCCCTCTCCACCCCCCTCCCCGGGCCAGGCCCCTCCGTCACCTGCACCGGCCGCAGCCCCCGCCGCGGCACTCAGAGGCGTGGCAGCCCCCGGTCGGCCTTCCTTCGGCAGCAGAGGGAGGCCATCACGTGAGCCTGACCCTGTGCTGGGCTCGGGTTCAAGTGCGAAGCCTCCGCGTGGCCTCAGAGCCCGCCAGACCTGCCCCCGCCCATCCTCTGGCCCCCTGCTTCCCTCTGCTCCACCTGCAGCCAGCGACCTCCATTGGTCCCCAAGGAGCCGTGCCCCCGGCTCCCAGGTCTCTGCCCGCTGTCCCTGGAGACCCCTCCCTCCTCGTCAGGACAGCCCTCCCCCCAGACCTCAGCGGTGCCTCCTCCGGGCAGTCTCCCAGCCGCTGTCCTCTGGGGGCTCCGGGGGGCAGGGAGGGGGCGCATGTCTTTCCGTCAAGGCAGTCACCTGGCTGGCTGTTTACCCAGGAGGCGGGGGTGTCCGAGCCCCGTGAGGACTGAGGCCACGGGCCTGGGTCCTCTCTCTCTCCAGGACCGGACAGGCCGAGGGCTCGGACTACAGGTTGAATGGATCTGTGTTGCTCACAGATCCCAGTGTGTGGCTATTATTTCTGACAACAAGGTGTCACGTCTCCCCTATACCCTCCCCCCCCCCAAGAGTGTGTCATCCCCCACTCTGAAACCGGTGACTCTTACCTCGTGCGGCAAAGGGACCTTACAGTGTGATTACTCGGATGTCGAGGGTTTGAGATGGGAGGTGACCCCGGGGTGTGCAGGGGGGTGGGGTGAAATCACGGAGGGCTTCTCGGAGGAAGGGGGGCGGTGAGAGGGGCGGAAAAGCCACCGGCCGGCTGGGAAGAGAGGAAGGGGCTGCGCGCTGAGCGGCCTCCGGACGCCGAGAAAGGCAGGGAAATGCCTTCTCCCCTGCAGAGCGTGTCTGGACTTCCGACCTCGGGGAGCGTTGTTCCCTTCTAAGTCACTGACTCCCTGACAGTGGTGGCAGCAGCCACGAGACACTGCCACAGCGCTCCCGTGTCCGCAGACCTGGTCCCCGCCCGGGGTTTGTGACAGTCGGGGTGGGAGGGGCGCTCAAGAGAAGGGAAGGGCCCGGCCAGTGTGGCTCAGTGGTTAAGCATCAACCTACGAACCAGGCAGTCACGGTTCGATTCCTGGTCAGGGCACATGCCCGATCCCCAACAAGGGGCGTTCAGGAGGCTGCTGATCTCTCTCCATCTCCCTTCCTCTATGAAATCCATAAAAATATATTAATAATAATAATTAATAATAAAGACCGAGGGGGCAGGAAGGTGTCGTGTGCCTGAGGGTACCAGGCTTCGGTCCCTGGGAGGGCCTGGGGTTCTCATTGGTGTGTTCACACCGCTCCGTTCACACCCCATGTAACAGCCGTGTTCACAGAGGTGACAGCCGCTGAGCTCCCACAGGAAGAGGCAGGGCCGGGACGGGAGCTCGAATCCGACTCCACGTGCTAGGCCAGCCTTTGGAGGGAGCCTGCCATGGCCGGCCGTGGGACGGTGACCCCGCTGGCCTGTACCTGAGGGCGCAGGCCCCCCCGCCCGGCGGTCCCGGTGGCCCTGCCCCCCCTCAGCCAGGCTCTGCGCTGTCTCCTCAGGGTGAACGAGCTGTACGTCGATGACCCGGACAAGGACAGCGGGGGCAAGATCGACGTCAGCCTGAACATCAGCTTACCCAACTTGCACTGCGACCGTGAGTATTCCCCGCAGCCTTCCCCCCGGCATGACCCCCTACCCGCCCTCCACCCCTTCCCGGGTAAGGCAGAGCTTGGTGCACAATTGTGAGACAGCCGGGGCCAGCTAAGCACACAGCGCAAGCTGCCAGCCACAGGTAGCATGTGATCCCATGTGATGCACTTGGTGCTTTCTGGGATAAAAAGCAAGAAATTGCTAACGGGGGTTACCTCTGGAGAATAGCCGTGTGTGTGTGTGTGTGTGTGTGTGTGTGTGTGCACGTGTGTGTGTGTGTGTGTGTGTGTGGATGGGAAGAGGCGTCTCTTAGGTCAGAGAAGCAGAGTTAGGTTTCCTGCAAATGGTCGATTGAGGGAGGGCTCTCAGAAGGAGCCTGAAGGGTGTCAGGGATGCGAGAGGACACGCAGAGATGTGTAGTGTGTGAGTGACACCGCGGTTTGTCCCTCCTGGTAGCAAGAGGCCGGGGGTGTGTGGGTGATGGTGGGGGTCATATAACCCCCCCCAGCAGCTCAAGGCTAGGGGCCTCCAGCCAGCCGGAGGGGTCCCCTGGGAAGGCAGGCAGCTCCGAGTTGCCAGCAGCCGCGGAAGCTTCCTTTTCTACTTCACACTCTGTTTTGTGGGTTTCGTTTGTTTCAACCAAGAGGATGAGTTATTTGTATAAACACAACTCCTTGGAAGAGCGGCGTGTGGCACCAGATGCTGGCTCTTTTGGTCAGTGACACTGGCTCAGGCAACCTCTCCCACCCACCTCAGTTTCCTCATCTGTAAAATGGGCTTGGTGCTCTCTGTTGTCCAAAGCCGTTGAGAGGATGTGGTAAGCTGGTTCCTAGGCTGGTGGGCGAGTGGCCTGGTGTCCCCTCCTGGACTGGGGTTCTAGCAGCTCCTCTGCTCCAGCCTGGCACAGAACCCCCTGCCTTCCTATGAGGGCAGCTCACTGGGCGGGCCTGCGGGCAGAGACGGGACCGGCCCCGTTCCTGCTGTGCTGAGAATTGCATCACAGCCCTGAGGCCACAGTGGGCCCCGTGCCAGGGAGCCTGTTGAAATAGGTCGGCTGTATTTTTATTTTAATCCCCTTTCTCTTAGAAAAATAACTCCTCTGGCAGCTTCTCCTTCAGGAACTGGTCATGTCTCTGGAACAAGGAAATGCTTCGGCCAGAGGCCTGGGACCCGAGGGACTGGGGGCGGGGAGGGGTGTGGCTCTAGGCTCCGTCCCAGCTCCGGGCAGCGGCCCAAGAGGGGCGGGCGGCCTCCAGCGGCAGCCGCGCTGGCTCCCGGGGTCCTTCCTGCCCCTCTGCGGGGCCCACGCCCTGGAATTTTTCAAAGAGAACGGTGAGTTTACGTTACAGGGAAACCAGTGTGTGCTCATCGTTGTACCCGGGGAAACCCAGAGCCGTGCGGAGAGGAGGAATCGCCCACCTTCACCCCCGATGGCCTCGCTGCCGGACGGTTCAGGCCGTCCCGTCCCGCCGGCTCTGACCCCCGCACATTTCTGAACCGGCTGAGCTCATGCTGCTGTGCAGGCCCATGTCCTCTTCTCACTCGACGGGCTTTTTCGGTTACACAATGAATCCAGGAATACTTTATCTTTTAAAATTTCTCAATAAGGTACATGTTCAAAATACAGAAATAGGTCAAGAAAAAAGGGAAAAGAAAGACACGTTCCCCAGGGTGCCACCCGCCCCAGAGGAGGCCTCTGCCAGCACTGGGCCCCCTCCCCCCACCCCTGTGTCCGGCCGTCTGTCTGCCGGCCTGCCTGTCAGCATTCTTTCTTTTCTCTGTCCATCCTTGAGGAAACGGGATGGGACCTTTCGGGGCTCCGTTCTCCAGCTCATATCTCGGAGCTGTTCTTCCATCCCTCGTAGGATTAGCAGCGAAACAGGAACCACAGCCAGCACCGACGCGGCTCCAGTCCGGGCCAGGCCCTGCCAGGCACGCGTTAGCTGGGTCAAGGGGAAAGGCGTGGGGGCCCCGTGGGGTCCGACCCGAGCTTTGTTGTTGCTTAGCTATGAGATCGCAGGCCTGTTCCTTAGCCTCTCTGTGCCTCCGTGTCCCCCCCAAGGATGGGCCTGGCCATGTGACCTTCCCCGCAGGGATGTCCAGAGGGAACGTTGGGACCTAAAAGGCACCCCAAAGAGTGTCTAGCGCCTAGTGGGTGCCTTTTTACCTCTCTCCTCCTCAGACACGTGGGCTGGAGGAGGCCCCCGGAGCGCAGGAGGTTAGGCCACTGTCCGAGGGGCTGCACCTGCCCTCCCGGCCTCTCCCCATCCCTGGGGCCCGGCATCCTGAGGAGGCCGGTCCACGGACCGGCACCGGCGATGGGCAGCTGGCTGGCTGCTTCCAGGTGTCACAGCTCCACATAAGGCTGCCCGAGAGCCTCCCGCACACGCCTGCTCCCTGTGCATCGGGGGCCAGACTCCCGGGCGGAACTGCGCCTCACGTTGGGACCCACTGCGCGAGCCTCACGCCCGGGTCCTGCAAGCCCGAGAGCACCCTCGTCAAAGGCTGCCTCCCGTTCTCTCCTCTGGGTGGGCCCTGGTCCACGGCCCCGTCTCCACGGAGGGACTGGGGCTGTTCCCTGTTAAGATGAGCTCACTTAAAACACTGCTTCCGGCTGCCCTGTCTCTCCCCGGCAACCTCCGTCCTGGAATTCTCTTCAGGGAGGTTCCTGCGTGTCTGTCGTTTACGAGGACCCCCTTAACCCCACCACCACCACCACCACCTCCTTGCCACGTGGACCCCCTCAGGACAAGCCGTTGGCGTGCGCCTGCCCGTTTTTCCAGGCTGGGAAGCCGAGGCACAGAGGGGGTGGGGTCACCCTGGAGGCGAGGACCGGGACTCCCCAGGTTTCCCATCTAGTGACTGAGCAACCCCAGAGAGTGCCTGAGCTCCTGCAGGGCGGCCTGCAGAAAGGGAGGTGTGAATGAGTGAATGAAGGAAGAATGAGGAATGAATGAATGAGCCGGTTTAACCAGGGACCCAGAGGCTGGCAGAGGCCCGTGAAGCGCTGAAGTCCATTAAGCCCTGGCCACTCCTGGGCGTTGGACGCTGTTGTAAGCGTGTTCTGTCCATCTGAACCGTCTGAGCCTCGTGACTCCCCAAGGAAGGCTTAATTGTCATCACCCCGTTTCCCAGGGAAGAAACGGAGGCCCAGAGCAATGCAGAGCCTCCTCCAGGGCTGGTAAAGGCTGCCAGGGCCGGGCCTCAGGCCTCCTCCTAACCCTGACCCTCTGCCGCCTGCCCGCAGCCGCCACCCCGCAGTGTCACCCCGCACCCCACCGTCCTCCATCACTATCCCCATTTCTTCCCCTCGTCCTTTCCAGCCGCAGACGGGGGTGGGGGAGGGGGGGGCAGTTGGCTCCCTCTTAGTCCAGGGTCACTTTCTCCTCTCCCGATGGCTGACCCCTCTGTGACTCTGGCCCCGGACCTTGGGCCCAGCGCCGCCTGCCCATGAGTGGACGGAGGAGGGGGCTGGTCTCTCTGTGACTCTGGGCCCGGACCTTGGGCCCAGCCCCGCCTGCCCATGAGTGGGACGGAGGAGGGGGCTGGTCCCTCTGTGACTCTGGCCCCGGACCTTGGGCCCAGCGCCGCCTGCCCATGAGTGGACGGAGGAGGGGCTGGTCCTCCCCCGTTTCTGGCTGACTGGCCCTCCCCTCCTCGGTCTCGCAGTGGTCGGGCTGGACATCCAGGATGAGATGGGCAGGCACGAAGTGGGGCACATCGACAACTCCATGAAGATCCCGCTGAGCAACGGGGCCGGCTGCCGCTTCGAGGGCCAGTTCAGCATCAACAAGGTACAGAGGCCTGGGGCCGCCCCTCGGTGCTCGGCCTCCCTGGAAACTGAGGCGGAGCTGTGCACCCCTCGCCTCCCCCAGGCATTCCCGAGAGGGGTGTCAGCACCCCGGGGTCTGGCAGTGCCTGCTGAGGTCTGTGTGGGGGATCCAGGCTCCTGGGCTGGAGCAGGTGGCTGGGGGCGGGGGGCAAGGGAAAGGGGGGCAGGGAGTAAAGGTGAGAAGACGGCAGCATTGGCAGTCCTGAGCCCTGCTTTTGCGTCCCAGCTCCATCCCCTCTTGGCCAAGCAACGCCCTCCCAGTCACTCACCCATCTTAGCCTCTGCTGCCTTTATTGGACCAGCTGCCTCTTGCAGGCCCCACACCGAGGGTCAAACTTGTAACCCGGGCACGTGACCTCCTGGTTCATAGGTCGACACTCAACCCTTGAGCCATCCCGGTCCGGCTCAGCCTTGGTTTTCACATCTTCCACTGGCTCACAGGTGACGTGACCGGCGTGTCCGTTCACTGCAGAGCACAGCTCGGGCCAGCCCCTGCCCCCACCCTGGACAGGTGACCGGTTCATGCCTTTGAGGGGCTCACCGTCGAGGGGTGTCGGGCGGGTGAGGTTCGCAGCCGACCCCACCCTGTATCTCGCGGTGTCAGGCTTACGCTGGCCGCGTGGCCCCTTATCTCCCCATCAGGAAGCTGGCCAGCAGCCCGGTGTCAGAGGTCACATGTTCCCGGCTGCACCGGCAGACCAGACTCCCCGCTTACTCACCAGCGCCCCAGGGGCTGGCAGGCTCGGCGGGGGCTGGGGGCCTGGCCTCCGCTCTGTATTTTTAAAACCATCTGAGGCACTGACGCAGGTTCCCTAGTCACGGGCTCTGAGAGCGGCCACGTCTTTCTCCGGCCCAGCGTGTGCCGGCATGAGTCAGCCCCGGGCCACTGAGTCACAGCCGAGGGGTGGCAGCGGGTGGCAGCTGCTCAGGGGCTGGCCTCCTGGGCTCACGTAGCTCTGGGACATGAGGCCCCGGCCCCAATCACGGTTCTGAGCTCTGCCCACGTCCACGGGGCCCACGTCAGCGAGTGGAGGAGCCCTGAGGGCCACGCCAGACCCACAGGTGTCCTATTTTCGGGGGCGGACGGTGACGAGGACAGTAGTTGGACTATATCGTGTGACTTTTTTATAATGCCTATGTCTCCAAGTATTATTTACAGAAGTAAAAGTGATGTTTAAAATAGGTGGTTAATGTATATATTTTTTATTGATTTCAGAAAGAGGAATGGAGAGGGAGAGATACAGACATCAATGATGAGAGGGGATCATTCCCCGGCTGCCTCCAGCACGCCCACCACCCCTCCCCCCACTGGGGATCGAGCCCACACCCAGGGCCTGTGCCCTGTCTGGGAATTGAACCCTGACCTCCTGGTTCATAGGTCGATGCTCAACCACTGAGCCACACCGGCCGGGCACGTTTATACGTCTAAGCGCCATGGCTCTTGCCCAGGCCCTGGCTGTGTACACACTGGACCCCCTTCAGGAGGGTCCCCTCTCGGCTCTGATGACAAACACGTCCTTCGGCCTGCACGCATCACCTCATCGCCTCCTCCCAGGGACCCTCGTGGTCATCACCCCCATTGTGCTGACGGGGAAACTGAGACACAGAGCAGCTGCTGGCCATGCCCAAGGCCCCTGGGGGCCAGGAAGGGGGCCAGCCTGGCCCGGGGGTGGCACTCAGCTGCTGCTCTGTCACGGACCTCGGGCCCCTGGAGCGGGCGATGTGTTCCTCCCGGGAGATCTGACCGAGCTGTCATTCCTGCTCGCCCCTGGCTGCCTCCACCTGCTCCCCCAGCTCCCTGGGCCCAGGCCCAGGCTCCATGCTGGCCACTGTGGCTCGCCGAGGCCGGGCCACGTCCTGTCGGCCAGCTTCCTCCCGTGTCCGCCCACGGCTCAGGCCCCGGGGAAGACGGGGCTGCTCCTGAGAGAGCCTCGGCGTTTGAAACGGGCGTGAGCGCAATGGACACCACACTTCCTCCTCTTGGGGCTGGCGGTGCTGCTTCGGAGTTTGAGAAAGTCTGAAGGTCGTCCCCTCACCCACTGTGGTGCCCACAGCCAGGGAGGGGGTGCTGATGGGAGCCACGGCCTTGTGCCCGGTGCAGACGAGGAGCCTGGGGCTCAGAGGGGGGGCTGTGGCTCCTCAGAGTCTCGTGGCCTGACTGACCCGGGTCCAAATCCAAACGTGTCCGACTCTGGGGGGAAGCCCTGTGCCCCTCCCCCCCCCCCCTTGGGGACAGCCCACCGACCTCCTGGCACTCGCCTCTCTCCCCAGGTCCCCGGCAACTTCCACGTGTCCACACACAGCGCCTCGGCCCAGCCCCAGAACCCGGACATGACCCACGTCATCCACAAGCTGTCCTTCGGGGACACGTTGCAGGTGAGCAGCCCCCCTACAGGGGCTGAGTCCCCGGGGCCGTCTGTCCTGTGGGCACAGAGCAATGCCCTCCTGAGGGGTCACCCGCTGTGACCCTCTGCTCCATCCGCATGCAGCCTGTCCGGTTCGTTTCTCCTGAGCACAGCTGCCCCGGCACACTGGCCTCGGACCCGGGTTCGGACCCCGGGCCTGGGGAAAGGGCCATGAGCGAGTGCTAAGCGCTGGCGCGTTCTCTCTGTCCGGGCAGCCTTAGGAGGCGGGAGGGGAGCCCACATTTTACAGACACGGCGCCAGGGCCAGAGAAGCCACTTGTCCAGGCTCTCCCAGCAGATCCGTCTGGCTCCACGGACCAGCCTGCCCCTCCCCTCCACGGCCCCCTCGGCCTGCCTGCCCGGGCCCACGCCGTCGGATAGGGCGAGCGTGGTGAATGAAGTGTCAGAGTCCTGGCTGCTGATCCAGAGGCCCCTCCGGCAGGCCCGGCCCGGCCCCGCCAGCAGTGTCTGACTCGTGGCAGCACACAGAGACCAGAGGGCCCTGCGCCCGGGGGCATGGCCGTCCCTCACAGCCGGCCGGCCCGGAGCCGCGGCCTCCTCAGCCGCCTCGCTGTGCCTCTCCGCAGGTGCAGAACGTCCACGGAGCTTTCAACGCGCTGGGAGGCGCGGACAGACTCACCTCCAACCGTACGTATCCTCCGGGGCCGCCTCCAGCCCCGGGCCCCGAGCAGCCGGGAGGGAGCGGGGAGCGGGCTGCTGGGCTTCTCCCCACGGCTGGCAGTACCCATCCCCCGGGGCAGGGAGAGTGGCCTGTTCCCGGGAAAGTGTGGCCGTCCCAGGCGCCCCGGGAGAGTCCGTGAATGCCAGCCGCCGTGCCGTCACCGCCGTCGGACAGCCTGTAATTAGCTGTCCGCATTGAGCTGTCACCTGAGTCCACGGGGAGTGACGGCAGAGCCAGAGCGCATCCCAGGCCACGTGGCACCGTGGGAACAGGTCCGTGGGCGGCTCAGTCAGGTCTGGCCACCTGGGCCGCCTCCCCCACCCCCTCTTCCTGCTTGCACCCCTCCCGCCCACAGATGCCCCCACCCTGAGCCCTCTCCCACCTCAGCTCCCCGGCCCTTTGGCCCTGACTGAGGAGCGCATCGCGGCCTCGCACGCACACCTCCACGCAGGGGCGCCCGTGCTCGGGGCGGGACACGGCGCGGCACCGCCTGGGAGGCCTGCCCCCCCCCCCCCCGGGCCCCGCAGGATAGGCTCCTGGCCTTTCCCAGTGGCCTCGCCTGAGCTCACCTCTTCTCACCCACAGGCTTTTCTCATTGGTTCTTTTTCTTTTCCAATTGATTTCAGAGAGGAAGGGCGAGGGGGAGAGAGAGAGAGAGAGAGAGGTAGGAACATCAATGATGAGAGAGAATCATGGATCGGCTGCCTCCTGCATGCCCCCCACTGGGATCACCCTGCAATCCGGGGCAGGTGCCCTGACAGGGAATCCAACCGTGACCTCCTGGTTCATAGGTCATCGCTCAACCACTAAGCCATCCCGGCCGGGCTTCTTACAGTTTCTTAAAATACATTCTGCTCTTTTTTAAAAAAAAAAAAAAAAAAAGCTTGTTTTTTTTTCTTTTTTGTTTGTTTGTTTTTTAAATATATTTAATTGATTTCTTACAGAGAGGAGGGGAGAGGGATAGAGAGTTAGAAACATGGATGAGAAAGAAACATCGATCAGCTGCCTCCTGCACACCTCCCACTGGGAATGTGCCCGCAACCAAGGTGCATGCCCTTGACCGGAATCGAACCTGGGACCCTTCAGTCCGCAGGCCGACGCTCTAGCCACTGAGCCACACCAGTTTGGGCACATTCTGCCTTCTAATTGTCAGAAATCAAAGCAAGAGAAGGCATCCCCCTGAGCTGCCCCCGGGACCTGCCCTGTGCGTTGCTCTGTGCCCGTGAGTTCTTGTCCATCCACACACAGAAGCCATTTCCTCGGAGCGCCATGTGCTCTGCCTGTTGCATCCCCGAGTGTGGAGCAGCGTCCCCCGGGGACGGTGACGGTGACGGCGACGGAGGCAGCCGGGCTGAATCCAGGCATCGTCTTTTCTGGGGAAGGGCGTGCTCTCGGTTCTCACCCCGGCCTGCCGGATCGCCGCCGCTGTCTGTGGCGTGTGCGCTGCGTTACCCGGTGGCGCCCAGTGCTCCGGGCCCGGGGTGCTGCTTCTGGCGCCTCCGAGCAGACACTGGCCCCCTGTGCTCAGGCGAGAGTGACGGGTGGTGGGGAGTCGTACCGGGTCTGTCTCAAGGCGGCCCCAGGGGTGCGAGCCAGTCGGGGGTGTGGGCAGGAAGCCTGGCAGCTAAGGAAAGCTGCGCTCATGGCAGGAGAAATGCTTTAGGTCGGGCAGCAGACGCTGGATTTTGTTTCCTCGAGCTCGGTCCCCCTGCTGGGCCTTTGCCTTTGAGGGTCCCTGTGCCCCGGTGCCCTCGGGTCTCCCCCGGGGGGCTGCTTGTTGTCATTGGGGTTCAGCGCAAACGCCGCCACCTCCGGGCGGCCCTCCCTGGTTACCTTATCTACAGCAAACGCCCCCCCTCCTCAGGAACGAGCCTTTTCCTTCTCCGCTCAGCCCCCTCTCTCTGCAGGTGCTGGTTGTTGGTATCGGAGCTGTCCCGGTGGCATTGTGGTGGTGGTGGTGGCTGTTTTTTTTTTTTTCGAAGGAGTTCTCATTTGTGGGCGCCTCGGTGTGATGTCTGGGGTGAACGCCAACCTAGAACGGGGCGGCAGAGCCGTGGGGGAGAGACGGAGCGACGCTGGCCGCTGGTCGTCGCTGGCGCCGGGGAATGAGGGCGTGGGCGATGGTTACACGGTCCCCGGTTCTTTCTGTGCCGGCGCTTCTCCGTGACGAGGCGTGTGAGGGTCAGGAGGGGCGGGGGCCCTCGCCAGCCCCTCGGAGGGGCCCGCCGAGAGGGAGTCCCGGGGAGTGTGAGGGGCAGTCGTGGACACGGGCCAGCTTGTGTCAGAGGCCCTCGGACACGGGCGCAGCGTCTGCATCCTCCGTCGTGCACACGGCAGAGTGAGGGAGGGAGGAAGGAGCCAAGGGGATAGCTGAGAGTGTCCGGGGACTCGGAAAACCGTGTCCGTTAGGTCATTGTTTACAGGAGGGAGAGGAGGAGCGGGGGGCCTGGCTGAGTGCATGATTCGTGGGCTCCCGTGGGGTGCGGCCCCCCGACCCTGACCGCGGTGTGGCAGAGCCTACGGCATCCAGGCAGCGGACATCCTCGGACCACTACTGCGTGCCAGGCGCGGTGCCGGGGGCTATGACAGGGACAGTCCTGCGCTCCGGCGTCTGCGGTGTCCAGTGCTCAGACAGGGCACAGCACGATCCTGTCAGGAAAACACAAACAAACCACGTGTCAGTCCCGGCTTCTGCACCGGAACGCGAGCCCACGGTGCCCTGAGCCTGGTGGCTCTGTGGGTGGCTCCCGTGTCCTCTCCGTGTGACCCTCTGTTTGAACAGAGCTGTTTGCACCGTGTGTGTGCCTTGCGTGTGAACACGGGTTCGTGGCTTTACAGGAGATGTCAGGCCTCTGGCTTTGTGGGCCAGCGTCTGTGGGCTCCATGGACCGCTCACCCCCCACCCCCCATCACCTTATACCCGGCCCTTTCGCCCTCTCCCTCCTCCCCCACCCCCCATTCCCGGTGACCTCCCTTCTGTTTCCTGGCACCATGCAGGGCGATGCCCAGGCCTTCAGGGTTTTAACCCAGGCGGTGGGCATCGGGTCGCTGCATTGCAAGTGTGAGCTCCTGGTTAAAACGCAGGCAGGTTCTGAGCCCACCCCGGCCCAGCGGGCAGGAATCTCCGATGCCGGGGGGAGGGGGCAGGCAGTGACGAGCCAGGTGTCTGCCTTCCTGGGTGACTCCAGCGCTTTGCTGTCTGAGGACCCCTCAGGGTTAGCCGAGGACTATGGGGTCCTGGTGCGCTTAGCCTGAGGCTGCAAAGCGCTTCCCAGGCTGGCAGAGGCGTAGCTCTGAAGACAGTCCAGGCAGCCTGTCCCTTCCTCCTTCCTTCCTTCTTTCCTTCCTCCCTCCCTCCCTCCCTTCCTCCTTCCTTCCTGAGACTGCGTTAGCAGGAAGAGGCCGTGCACAGCATCTGCACCCCCGCCCCCCGCCCCCTCCCCTCACAGAGAGGAGAGATGAGTGCCAGGCTCAGGGCTGCCTCAGCCTGGAGCCGGGGTTAGAACCGGCGGGTCCGCTCCAGGGGCCCTGCCTGGAGGTCCCGAAGGCAGTCACGGCCGGACGGGCCCTCATGCTGCTCCCCTCAGCGTCCCCGAAGGCCCCAGGGCGCTCGTGCCTCCCCAGTGGGACTGGGCCGCTGCGGGCAGCGCTCCGTGAGGCTCCTGTCGGGATCTGGTTGCCTCACGCTTATCAGAAGCTGATTCACCCGCGCTCCCATCCATGCCTCCGGCCAGTCATCCCTCCACCGGTTCATTCACTCAATAAGCATTCGCCGCTGCCCGCTCCGGACCAGGCCCGCCGGGTGCTGGGGACGCAGGGATGAGTCAGGCTGGGCCCTGCCCCCTGCGGCCTCCCGTCCAGCGGGTGTGTGTGTGTGTGTGTGTGTGTGTGACAGTTCCGTGAGGTCTATGGCAGGGCCTGGGGAGGGGGCCTGGATCTCCCGTTCCCCGAGAATGGGGGCAAGAAATGGATTCTCCGTCCCTGACGTTTTTCCAGGTTGTGGGGCTCTTTCCTTTTAACACCTCCACCCGGTCTGTTTGAAAAGGAACAATATTCAAACAGGCCCCAGGGTGCCGCAGGGAAACGGCATCGTTATCACATCCTGCCTCCTGCCCCGGAGGCGAAGGCTGCTGAGCGCTCCTCCGTATCTTTCCAGAAAGCGCTTCTCTGTGTTTTTGCATGTGGAGAGCATGAGCCTGCCCTGCCCTCCCCCTCATCCCCACCCCCTGCACGGAAACACGTCATTCGCCCGGTTATGTAACGTGGTTCTCTTACGTAACAGTTCCTCTTGGCAAACGGCCTGGCCCAGCACCCACCCCACGGCCGCCCTGGGAAGGGGCATTGCGTGGTTCCCCGGGTTGTAATATTAAATACGGAGTGACGGTCCTGACAGGTGGAGTCTCCCAATCCCTGGTGTCAGAGGGAGGAGATGCAGCGGGGTCCCCTGTTCCGGGAGGAGCATGTGGAGGCTGAGCCCCCACCCAGCCACCAGCAGTCACCGGGCTGGCTGAAGGTTGAAATGACCTCGAGCTGCCGCCCCCAGGCAGGGCCTGTCCCTCCCGATTCACTCGCTCTGCCGTCTCCTTCCCGCAGCCCTCGCCTCCCACGACTACATCCTGAAGATCGTGCCCACGGTTTACGAAGACAAGAGCGGCAAGCAGCGGTACTCTTACCAGTACACAGTGGCCAACAAGGTAGGGCGGCGGCGGGCAACAGCGCCCTCTGCTGGCCGAGAGCGGAGGCTGCACGTGTCCGGGCACAATTTGAGAGAAGCTGGCAGGTGGCCGCCCGCAGAGGTCCAGGGCTTACAGCCGGCGCCACGGCCCCGCACCTGGCCCCTGGTTGGTCAGCACATGACAGGCGCTTTGGCTGTTGAATCACCCTGATGGCCATGGGTTAACGGGAATGTCCCAGGACCCCAACACGCAAAGTCACGGAGAAGCGGGCAGGCAGGGCATGGTCAGAGCCAGCGGGGTGGGGTGACCAGCAGTGGTTTCCGGGCTGCCCGGGGGAGGACCCTGCCTGCCAGGGGGACGTGAATGCCTGAAGCTCGTTGGCTGAGGTTTCCCCCCGACGAGACCCCTTTACCGCCAGGAGTCTCCTTTGTCGTCCGGTCCAGGGCGGCCGGAACCCCTTGTGAGCGATATAGTGTTTCGCTCAATTAGTAATAATAATAATAGAGCAGTCGCTCTCATTTATTGAGCACCTATAAGGGGACACGATGCTAAGCTCTCTAACTCCACCATCGTGTTCAGTCATCATGACGGCTCTGACGTCGGGACGGTCATTTCACGGGTTCGGCCACTGAGACACAGCAAGCTAGTCCAGCTACAAAGTAGCCAAGTGGGGGTTAGAACCGGCTTCTCCTCGAGCTCCAGAGCCGGGCCGGGCATCCCTCCCTCTCTGGGCGCCCTGAGGCCCCCCTGCTCTGGCCCGCCCGCCCGTGCTGATGTTTCCTCCGTCTCTGCCTCTTGGAGGGCCTGCCTTTGTCACCCTCAGGGGCTGGCGGCATCTGGCAGCTGGGAGAACGTGGGGGCAGGCTGAGCAGACGTCGTGAGCCGGGGAGGAGACAGCCGGCCCCACCTGGCTCCGTCCCTAGGTCACATGACCCCCTGGCGCCTCAGTTTACCCGTTTGTGAGATGATGCCTACCTCCTCAGACCTCTGTCAGATGAGGCGCTGCCTCTAAAGCCGGGCATTGGAGAAGGCTGTGGATGCACGGGCTGTGTTCTCATTATCTCTCTCTGACCCTCAGCCCCAGGCTGTGACCCAGACAGTCACCCTGCCCCGTCCGCCCGCCCGCCCGCTGCTCCCCGGGAGAAAGCTGATCTTGTTTTGCCCATGGCTCCTTCCCCGGAGGCGTTGGCCGGGGCCCAGCGCCCAGAACAGCTTGCTCAGCTCCCTCCCTGGCCTTGGCCCCAGCGTGTCCCGGAGCATGCGGGGCTGTGCCCATCGGGGACGGCGAACAGAGGCAGGACTCGGGCTCCTCCCCAGGAGAAGCCTCGGATCCGGCCCAGCCTGTGGGGTTGGGGGTGGCCTGGGGGTTCAGCGAGGTCTCCAGATGTTGGAGAGGAATGAGGGGAGCCCGGAGGTGTTCGGCGTCCCACGGCACCCCGACCAGAGGGCCCACAGCACCCAGACCAGAGGGTCCCGGCACCCAGACCGGAGGGCCCACGGCACCCAGACCGGAGGGCCCACGGCACCCAGACCAGAGAGGGCCCACGGCACCCAGACCAGAGAGGGTCCCAGCACCCAGACCAGAGAGGGTCCCGGCACCCAGACCGGAGGGCCCAGGGCACCCAGACCGGAGGGCCCACGGCACCCAGACCGGAGGGCCCACGGCACCCAGACCGGAGAGGGTCCCGGCACCCAGACCAGAGAGCCCACGGCCCACTGGGGCCCTTAGCATCCTTTCGGCCCCTGCGGTGCCTTCCTGGGAGGCAGGCTGTGGGCTGAGCCCTCTGGCTTTCCAGTTCCGTGTGTTCCTCCTCCCCACGTGGTCTCTGGGTCACAGGCACACACGCACTCCAGGATGTCACGTGTGGTATGGAATGTCCCCTCCTCACTGAGCCTTCCAGACGCCCCGGGGAGACTTGGTCACTTTGCCGGTGGCTCCTGTAGGACTCCGTGTCCTTCGATCACAGTGTGCATGGTGTCGCAGTATTGCACGTATTTATTTATATATAAATATATATATTTATTTCTTTATTGATTTCAGGGAGGAAGGAAGAGGGAGAGAGAGATAGAAACATCCATGATGAGAGAGAATCACTGATGGGCTGCCTCCTGCACCATCGCCACCAGGGATGGAGCCTGCAACCCGGGCCTGTGCGCTTGGCTGGAATCGAACCGGGGACCCTTCAGTCCACAGGCCGACGCTCTATCCACTGAGCCAAACTGGCCAGGGCTGCACATATTGTTACATCTGCCTTCCCCAGACCGTGACCCCCTCTGCTCCCTTGGGGTCCCCAGCTGCCAGCATGGCGCCAGCAAACGGGAGGGGGCGTAGGCAGGAAGCTTGCTGAATGAATGAATGAATGAATGAACGGGTTTCGCGTGGCCCAGGAAGCAGGAGGGAGACCTCTATTCAGAATGAGCCCGGACCGCACTTGTCCTTCTCCCTTTGTGCTCTCCGGGCCTTGTTATTCGAGCGCTGCCTCTGGGATCCACATAGGGACGTTTCCAGGCAGCCAAGGCCAAATGCCCCGGCAACGATGCCCGTCCAGACCGCCAGCGGCGCGGGGGTGAGGGGGGCCGGTGCGCCTGGCTCCCCGGGGGAGAGAGGCCCGTTCTTAGGGGTGGCAGGGGAACCCCGGTTCCACCCCCACCCGCCGTGAGATGCGGCTTGTGCACCTGAACCATGCCCTCCGCACCTGCCCCCTCACCCCCGTCTCTTCTCCCCCCAGGAGTACGTCGCCTACAGCCACACGGGCCGCATCATCCCTGCCATCTGGTTCCGCTACGACCTCAGCCCCATCACGGTCAAGTACACAGAGAGACGGCAGCCCCTGTACAGGTTCATCACCACGGTGAGTGGGCAGGCGCCTCCGCTGGCTCTTAAAGAAACAGGGCGTGGCCCTCGGGACTGGGGGCGCGGGCTGTCCCACAGGGGGCTTTGACACACACACACACACACACACACACACGCTCGCACACGCGCACACACACACACACGCACACTCACGCACACAGACTCACACACACTCACACGTACACACACACACACGCACACAGACTCACACACACTCACACGCACACACACACACTCACACATACACACACACACACGCACACAGACTCACACACACTCACACATACACACACACACTCGCACACACGCACACACACTCACACGCACACACACGCGCGCGCACACACACTCACACATACACACACACTCACGCACACACACTCACGCACACACGCACACACACGCACTCACACATACACACACACTCATGCACACACACTCACGCACACACACATACACTGTGTGCAGAGCCGTCGTCAGCACACGTCAGTGTCGGCGGTGGTCCGCCAGGAAAATGCTTTCCAGCGGGGAGTGCTCCCTTCTGAAGCAGGCCTGTGTGTGGCTGCATTCGGTGTTCATGGTTGCCTCCCGTTCTTTCCATTTTGTGGGTATCCGTGCCAGCAGGGTTTCTTGTTTCTCCTCTGCCGTGCGAATTCTGCAGCGAAGACTTAGGTCACCCGTTTTCGTCCCCGGGTCTGTTCTCCAGCCAGAGCCGCTGATCTCATGGGGCTTTTCTTTCCTTCCTGCCTGCCTGTCCCCTCCTCTGCCATTGTCTCTGCCAACGGAGACAGCTTCGGGCTGATGTCATTCTTCTCGGGGCTCGTTACCTCGTGTCCGGTTTCCTAGGCTCATTCACAAGGTCCTGGGGGACGGTGGCCTGCTCCGGCCCCGACGCCCGCCTGGAGGTGTCTGGTGTCAGCCAGAGCCGGCGGCAGTGCACAGAGGGGTGGGTACCCCCACCTCCCAGATTGGGAAACTGAGGCCTGAAGGCCCTCTTCCCCCTTTGGATCAGGAGTCGGGGTCCAGGAGTCCAGTCCTGGCACTTGGTTTTCTGGCGCTGACTCGGCTGCAGAAGAGACGGGACCCCACAGCAAGCTGGGCTGAGGGGTCGGCAGGCCTCGGCTTGGCTGGGCCCAGGCCTAAGCGTGGTCTGCCATAGGCCTTCCCGCAGCCCCTGTGCTCTGCGCCGGCTTCGTTTGCAAACAGAATTTACCGGCAGGAAGGGCTTCTTTCTCAGCGACTCCGCCCAGCGCCCCGGGTGGGACAGTGCTGTCCTTGGCCTGGACCGTGAATGAGTCTCCAGCTGGCCAGCTCCACGCAGACCCCAAGGACAAAGACTGCAAGGGGAGGAGCGGGGGCCAGCCCCGGGAGGGTGAGTGGTGTCGGGAGGCAAAAAGGCCCTCCTGTCCCCACCTACAACGTGGGAACAGCCACCCACCTCCCCCAGGGCCGCGTGGGACTCCCACTCTTCGCAGGTCTGGAAAGCCTGTGGGTTTGAGCCTCGGGACAGCCCTCCTGTTCCCTGACTCCATAGAAAACCTGAACTTCTGGTCGACACAGGGCACCTGCCGTCCTTAAAACACCAGGCCCGGGCAGGGGAAGGTTCTGGCCGCACCTCCGAGGAAGGAATGTGCTTAGGAATTTACACGTAAAGAACCCCTGCAGAGCACTAAGAACATGTTACATGATCGGAAGGAGAAGGGGCAAGGGCGGCGTTCACAGAGGAGACCACACGGGCAGTGGGAATGGGAGGGCCGGGATTCGAAGCAGCGAGTCCGGTCCGGTCCGGCAGACTGGCAGGTGGGAAAGACGGGCCGCCGTGGAGGTGGGGAGGCTGTGCGGGGAGGGGGGATCTGCGCACTCCGCCTGGTGCACGGGCCACGGGTCAGGGGCCACGGGCCAGCCACGCAGGAGGGAGGGACGCAAACCCTTTGACCCGAAAGTCAGGACGGGTGAACAGGTCATTCTACTCCCCGGAGGGGCCGCTGATTCCGAATAAGATACAGACGAGGGTACCTCTGCCGGTGTGGCCTGCGGCCCTGACAGGGGCAGGGACACCCGGTGCCCATAGCCGGCGGACGGCCCAAAGGGCTCTCCATCCCCGTTCCTGACTGTGCCTGTGCCGCCAGGCTGCAGAGGCTCAGGGCCGCAGCCCTCGGCCAGCGGCTGAGCAGTGAGGCCCCTGCGTTTGTTCGCTGAACATTTGCTGGAATTTTCCGCGTGCCGGGCAGCCAGCTAGGTGACTGAGACGTCACCTCGGCCTCGGCTGCTCCCGGCTGGCGGGCCCAGGGGCGGTGGGGGCAGAGGTGGGCCAGGCGCCCTGGTTGGGAAGGTGCTGAGACGGGAGCCGGGGCTGGGCCTGAGGGGTGAGAAGCTCTAGGCTGAGGGAGGGAGAGGGGCTTTCACAGAGCCCGGGCACAGGGGCCCCCACAGCACATCCTGGGGGGCCGGGGGGCCTCCTTCAATGGGGGGGCGCCCCCAGAGGGCGCAGGGGAGGACCTGTCTGTCCTGTATTACCCAGAGCCCCCCGCCTCCAGCCCCTCCTCCACCCCCGTGTGAGCCGTGCTGCAGGGAACCTCCTGACATCGTTAGGCTGGTCGGTCTTGGTGAGTTTTTTTTTTTTTGCTGAAGGCCCCCTGGCACCATCTCGGTTGCATGGCAACCAGAGTCCGCCCTGAGCCAGCTGGCAGTCCCTGGCAGATGGCGTCATTGTGCAGCTCCGGTCGCTCTTGTCACGGGATGGGATGGGATGGGGACAGCAGATGTGAGGATGACGTTTCCGGCAGGCACAGGGCACAAAGACACCGCCGCCCTCATGGGCGGGCGGGCGGGCAGGGCGGGGCGGGCACCTGCCGTGCCTTCTCTTTCTCTCTTTTTAAAAACCAAACACTTGCGTGCAAAGCCCCGGCCTCCAAGTGGGGGGCTCTGCAAATAGCGCCCCGAGAGGCTGCTGAGGAGGGCGGGGGCCGGGGTGTCGTCATGTGGCGGCTGCAGAGCAGCTGTGGGTGGGCTGGAATGAGGGGTGGGTCCAGCAAGGGGGTGGAAGGGGGGGCTGAGGGTGTGGAGGGGAGGGGCGAGGGGCCTCCCCAGTGCAGTGCTCAGTATGGAGACCCTGGCTTGTTCGGAGTCTGAACCCACAGGACTGTCCCACGCTCCCCTCTCCGGCCACCCAGGCCCCCTTGCTCAGATGTCCGCTTTGAGCTATTCCGGAAAATTCCACTCGGGGGATAAACAGCTGGTGTTCAACAACGTGCAAGTGTGAAGTGGCCCCTCCCTCCCGCCCACCCACGCACATGTGTCCCCCGCCACTTGCCGACACCCCTTTTCGAGACGGCCTTCAAGTGGGTGGTGGTGACAGATCGGATGGCTCAGGGGCCGCGCCGCTTTCCTCGTGTGTTACATTCTATTTGGGGGCGGCAGCCAGAAGTCACCGAGTGCCGGACCGGGCCGGTGTGGCCGGGAGTGGCTGCCCACCAGAAAGCCGGGCCGGTCCTGCCAGGCTTCCGATGGGTGGCAGGCGAGGCTCGATTAGACACGATCCCTGCCAGGGCCCGGCTGGCACGAAGGAGCTCCGATACAGCGGGACAGGCGCCTGAGGAAGTGATCACATAGCTACCCTTGTTATATAATCCGTGTGTGCGGGAATTTTATAGTTACCTCCGCTAGCCCTCCCCGGGGCCCTCCGAGGTAGATGATGTCATTCTGTTTTACATAGGAGGCCCGGAGAGGTACAGACGCCTGTCCGAGGTCACACAGCCAGGAAACGACAAGGCTGGAACGTGACCCCCAAGCCCACTTCCCTCTTTTATTTTATTTTTAAAAAAACATATATTTTATTGATTTTTTTACAGAGAGGAAGGGAGAGGGATAGAGAGCCAGAAACATCCATCAGCTGCCTCCTGCACAACCCCTACTGGGCATGTGCCGGCAACCAAGGTCCATGCCCTTGACCGGAATCGAGCCCGGCACCTTTCAGTCCGCAGGCCCACGGTCTATCCACTGAGTGAAACCGGTTTCGGCCACCTCCCTCTTTTAAAACAACAGCTCTCAGGGATGTTCCAGCCACGGAGACCCATGAGGCTGGCCACGGAGCCCTGGGGAGGACACCAGGATCCTTTGACACAGTGACTTCTGTCCTGGGAAACCAGGGGGAAATACAGCAGGAAGCACGTCTGACAAAAATCACAGCCGCGTGCACGCAGACCGTGAAAAACGCTGACTGCCCGAGCGTGTGGTGTGCACACTTCCTCCTCCTTATCTGCTGCCTTCCGCTCACCGGCGGGGGCACCGGAGGCGTCTGCCATAGACGGCAGGCGGCAGGGGCCGGGGTGCGGGCAGGAGGGAGAGAGGACAGGGAGGAGACAAGTCTGAGCTGGTGAGTGGGGGAGACCGGCTTGTGGCTGGCCTGGCACTGCAGCCTTTCCAGAGCCTGGATTCTCTCCTTCTCGCCCGCCCCTCCGTGCGTCTCCCTTCCCAGGACCATGAGCCCCGGGACAGGCTGCATCTTTTTAATTAGTTAATTAATTTATTTATTATTGATTACAGAGAGGAAGGGAGAGAGAGAAATATCAGTGATGAGAATCATTGGATCAGCTGCCTCCTGCACGGCCCCTACTGGGGACTGAGCCCACACCCCCAAGGCCATGTGTCCTTGACCGGAATCGAACCCGGGACCCTTCAGTCCCCAGGCTGACACTCTGTCCACTGAACCACACCAGCTAGGACAAGGCTTGCATCTTGGCATCTCTGGTCCCAGCGCAGGCGAGGGGTACCCAGGTGTCAGAGCCGGAGGGAGGGGTGTCCATCTTGGTCCTCCCCCGAGGCCGTTTCTGAGGAACAGAACGAACCCAGCGCAGCAGCTCAGTGACTCAGTGGGCCTGGACGTGTGCAAACCGCTTCATTCCGGATCCTTCCGGACGGCTGAGCGGAGCCGGGTCTGCTGAGGACTGTGTGCCGGGGGCAGGCGGCTCCTGCCGGCCTGCACGGTGCCTCGGTTGG